ACATACGAGTATATCTAAAATTAAAATATAGTGACGTTTTCTATTGTTCTTGTGTCCACAATAAAGTTATGTTATTTACGTCATAACGAAGTCATAACGAAGTTTATGAAATACTGGAACTTATACTGTGTGATATGCTCCACTTTTATGTCAATTTAAAACCAACTGTTATTATAACATAGTATTTTTGTCCCCCGTCGTAAATTACCGTTGATAGTGATTTACGATTGCATGATTATAGTGGCGAGTGGAGTACGTTATATTTGTACTAAGTTGTGTGTGACCACAGAACAGTTTCACTGTTCTGTTTGTGTAACAATATGGTTTTGTCTATGACTATAAAAAAATATTAGGATTTATGCTAGCTGTTTCCTTTGTTTAACTACGAATCGTGGTTTTTGCGCGAAGTATTGTTGGCGCTCCACCACTGTGCGCTTTTCGAGACACTTTTTGCCCCGCACAACCAATCTGCTGAACGGTTTATGGTCTGCGGTATTTCCGGGCCGATACGAAGTTCAAACCTTCAAGAAAAGAGTGTACTCCTCCTTCCTAAAAGGCCGGCGACGTGTTTGTGACTTCTGAGTTGCAGACGTTCATGGGCGGCGATGGTCACTTTCCATCAGGTGACCCGTCTGCTCGTCTGCCCCTCTGACATAAAAAAAAAGTTTTTATGAGAAATCAATCATTTTACAAGTTAGGAAACATAACTTTTGTATTTTGGAAATACAAGTGGTTGTGTTGTTGTTGTGGTTGTAAAGAGTAATAATACATACACAAAATTATGCACATTTTTAAATATCCAATAATACCATATAAGCTGCATTCATATTTTATTCGTCTGTTACCAACTTTTTACAGGTAAACTTTTTTAATAATTTAAAACTTGCGTTGCAGAAATACGAGTCCATTTTAACGCTAGAATAAATATTAATACTTTACGAACCCAGATAAATACAGCTCAAGAGAAATAATTAAATAATAAGCAAGTAATGTACTGTATTTTCATTATGAATGTTAATTAAGAGTAAAAACATGGAAATGTATCTCCACTCTTAATAAAAATTCGAGTACGCGTACACGGCTTCACACAGCAGTTTTAGCCAATTAACAATGTTAACGAGTTTCGGAAACGTTATTTTATTAAATCGTATAATCGCTGCGTTGGTTGCGAATTAACGGTTTCATTGTAACGTCACTATGATTTATTTGAATTTAGAACGCTTGAGTAACGACATAATCTAAAACAGATATCCTCTCCTGTCTCAAACGGACATGTATGTTAAGATTTGTATATAGTAGCGGTTTATGTATATATATGTTTTTTGATGGAAAAATTAATAAATCTTGGTTAAACTAAAAAATCGACTAAGTGCGTGTCGAGCCACGCCCAAGTACAATTTCGTAGTTACCTATCACAATAATGCTAATACAATAAGATTACTAATACTAGCAAGTGATTTTTGGTGTTTGTGTTTTCCTAAGTGTTTAACAGAGTCAGCGGCACATGACGTCAAAAAACGTGCCAACAAAGGAGTTAATCCAGCTTCACAAGGAAAGATTAAAAAACATTATATCTTTGAGTACCAGTGCGTGTAGAAGAATAAAGAATGATAACCAGCCTGACGTATTAATTTGGATTCTGCAGTATTGTCGCCGCACGGAAATAGTCTTCGTTAAAATCGCCAAATATTATGAATAGGCTGTAGGGGTTTCTGGGGCCCTAACTTTTTTTTTTAAAGACTACTGCATTAGGCCTATATCCTGTGTCGCGGGGGACTTTACAAACATACATGAAACGGACACAAAGAACACCCAGACTCAGAACAACAATTTGTGGATCACACAAAGTGTCGTTCCATGTGGGGTTTGAACCTCAGCACAACACTCGGCGCAGTAGGAAGCGGCGTGGCGACCGCTTAAACCACTACGCCATCCGTGCAGTCAATTACTAATAAAACCTACTGCGAAACTGTTAGGCCATTTCCATGACCTATAAAATGCCATTATCTTCATATTGTTTCACGCCTAAACAACTAAACCGCTTTAAAAAAAAAAATACCAATGGGAAGCTATATTATCAGCGAGTAACATAGGCTTTATACCGCGAACGGAGCCGCGGACAAAAGCTTGTTTATAGTATAAATATGGATGAATAATGACTAATATAATTTCATAAATTGTATCATGCTCATTGAAACCGAACAGATTACAAAAAAAAAATAGCAGTTAGTACCAAAAATATTCATAGATAAAGTAAGAATTATTGTTTGTGTGATAACCCGCCCATGCTGTGTTTTGACTACCTGTTATGACGTCACTGTTTAGTGTTGCTACATGGAAAATACAACTTAAACATAGTATCTATTCGATTCATACTACTATCACGTATCACTATAGAAATCACAGTTCTTATCGATTTTGAAACATGAAACTTTGGTATATTAAGTCGTGATGTTTTCTTTTCGCTACATACGCGACAAAGAGTTCAGTCAATAGTTGTTTCAAAAGAGGTTTTGGCCTACTATACCACGCTGGCTAGACGGGTTGGTATAGGGTTTGTTTCAAGTTTTCCTTCTCTTTGCAGTGCTGTTGTCTTGCGTAGTTTTCTCCCTTAGTCGACTTTTACGACACCCTCGGGATGAATGGGGGTGGTGACATTACGTATTCTTAATCCGTCACCATGATATTCGATTATTATGATATATATTCGATTATACATGATATATATTCGATTATACATGATATTTGATTATTTCGTGTATATTCTATTTCTGTATATTTTCTTAAATTTACTCTGTATACTCTTGTTGTGCTATTCTCTCTTAACTCTTTGGTTTGCTGGAAGAGAACTCAATTATGAGTTAAGCTCGCCTCTGTGCCCACTATTCCTTAATGTTTTTTTTTTTTATAAATGTTTATATTGTGTACGTAAGAATAAATAATTATAATAAATTTTGATTAACTTATATTCATGTATAACTTAAGGATAGGTTAGCTACTTATCCTTATTTTAACGTAGGTACGTTTCATTGGCTATTACATTGTGTACATAGTATAAATAATAGGTATATATCTCTCGAAATTAAATATCCAAGAATCAATATATTTAATTGCTAAGTTGTACGGAGAAACGATAGACATTTAGAAGCAATATTAGACCATAGCATAAACCAGTGGGAGTAGAACCCACAAAGTATTACTGATCTAGATCCACTGCAGTGCTCGTGCTTATTACACAACTATTTGTCCTAGTTTAGAATCGAACTTACGACGTCTGCCTTAACAGTCAGGTTCACTAACCAATAGGCCAGACTAACATTTCGTTTCAGTTGAATCTAACCACCATTGTTTTTGGTAGAAAAACAGTGTTGCCAGACTTACAACACAGTGTTTTGTTTTTAATGTGAAATACAGTGTACCAGTCGTATATATACTCATTGCAAATGCTATTGTATTACATCTCTCTAAATATTGTGTAACCTTGGGACGGGCCTGTGGGTCTAGTGGTTAGCGACCCTGACTGCTAAGCCGGATGTCGTGAGTTCGATTCCCGCCCAGGACAAATATTGTGTGATGAGCACGATCATTTGCTCTGTGTCTGTATTTAAAAATCATAAGTATGTTTATCAGCAGTCTGGTTACCATAGTACAGTCTCTGCCTAGTTTGGACTCGGAAAGCCGTGTGTGAGATGTGTAAGGTATATTATTATTATTGTTATAAGACCTGCTGTTACATCAGGTCCCCTATCTTTACCTAAATAATGATAAAAGAATTAGTAGTTAGTTAACAGCTGATAAACATACTTATATATTTTTAAATACATATATTGTATAGAGAAATAAAATCCCTACACAGAATGAATGATCGTGCACATAAAACAATCATTAATCCTGGGTAGGTATTGAACCCACGACCTATCTCATGACCCAAGATACCAGTCATTATCATATTACTGAAATAATAAAAAGCTTCGTCTTATTATTGAAATGGATTCTCTATGAAAACATAGAGCTCAGAGTATTTATTAAAAACGGTACTCGGAGATTACATTTGCAATACAGATTAAATATAATTGTACGAGTTGTGAGTTCATTTGCATGCGGAGCACGTACTCTTAAGGTCGGATGCATTGTGCCGAGCACAGACAATAATGCTGCTGAATAATGGTATAAAAGGGATTTGATTTATCACTGGACTGTGCCTACTAAACTCTTTAATAATGGGACGAAATTCATTTGCGTGATGAACACGGAATTCTAAAGATATTTTGGTACTTACTAAGGGCCCGTTGTTTGATAAATAGTTAAACATGACTGTTAGTCAATTTAACTAATTGTCACTTGACCATAGTTAGCGCCTAAACAATTGGTTAAAATTGAAATATGTTGTTTGATGATATTTTTAACTATGGTTAAATATAACAATAGTCATTTGTGCTGCCACATTAATAAACTGGGGAGAAGGAAAATACATGTTGGGAAAGTAATATTGCACTGGCAACACAACGACATAAAAGTAAAAAATCTCGAAATTGACGTATCGTGACAGCGTCGCTTCGCTTGTGTTATTGTTTTTGTTTCGTCGCTCGTGGTAATTTTGTTGAATTTCGATCTTTTGTGAAAGAATAGAAATCAAAATGAGCAAGTAAGTACAAATTTATGTCCCACACAGAGATTCCAAGTAAACAATATTAACAAGCTACCTAATAAATTAATGTAATCCTAGTTATTTAATTTTGTTTCACTCGTAGTGTAATAAACATGAACCATTAATAAATTCAATATAATTCATTTGCAGAGAGAGGAGTAATAACTTTAGCCGAGAAGAACTCAACAAATTGAAGGAGTTACTTGAAAAATATTCAATAATAATGAATAAAAAGACAGACCATGCCAGTACGAAGCAGAAAGATGAAGCGTGGTGTCAACTAACGAATGAATTTAATTCTAATAATCTTATTTATCGAACGAAAAAACAATTAATTTATAAGTTCAACAACATGAAAAAAAATGCCAGAAAGGTATGCTGCATGCAATGTTATTTACAAACTAAGTTCAGTAGTTTGTACTTATTGTTTCATTGCACTCTAACATAACTGTTGTCTATCTATACTATGGTGCAAATTATTTAATTTTACACATATACTAAGATTTGTATATTAAGGTGTGTAAGGTAAATTTGTGTTATTTTAGGAATTATCACAAGAAAAAAAAGAACGCCGCTGTACTGGTGGAGGGCCACCACCACCCAAACCTTCCGATACCAGTGAATGGCTGTGCAGCATAATGGGTGAATCAATAGTGGGTCTTCCATCCACACATGATTCAGATTTCATTTTTGGTACTTTTTTATTATATTTATTCTTTCTTGAATCTAGTTATTTTCATGTTATCAATAGTGTTGTGTATAAGTACATGTTTGTTTACAGATAATAATACTCCACAGTTGAATGGTGAAGCAGCTCAACCAAGTGTTGCTCTTTCAAATATTGAGGAGGAAATGTCTATGGTGTCGTATACAGATGGACACAATGACGGAGTTATCCATGATGTTGCTCATATTGTGCCAATTCATGATGTTCAAGGTTAGAAAATAATTTATGTCAATGGTAAAATGTATTATTTGTAAATATAATGTACATAGTCACTAAAATTAAAAAAAAAACAATAAAATATTGTCCACTTTGCAGTAATTTGAAAATGAAGTTTTCATATTTGATCATTCAAGTAACAGCATTAATTATCTGATCTGCATAGGCAGTTTGAAATATACATATTTTGTATTTACCTATTTCAGAAAATGAAGAGACTCGGGAGACTGTGAAATTTGACACGAGCACACCACATACAATGCTGCGAAAACCTCTTTCTAAACCATTAGGTTTGTATTATGTATGACCTTATCATATATTTTCTCAATGAAATCACAATCAGCTCTTATGATTGATTTCTATTAATTTTTTCAGAATCATCTTATAGGAAAAGAAAATTGAATTTTACTCCTCTCGAGACAAGAAAAAAAATCATTACAGTAGCTCACGAAAAAGAACTCTACTTAAAGAAGAAAGGAGTGAGAGATGAAAAAATATTGGAGTTTGCTGAGGAGGAGCACAACAAAAATATGCAGCATAAGGAAGAAATGCATGCATTAGAAATAGCATTTAAAAATAAATTGCATAATCTCCTTCTAAAAAAAGCTGCAATAGAAGTAGAGATTGAGGAGGAAAAATTAAAAAAATTAAAAGCAGAAAATAAATAATAATAATTCAATAATGTATTTTCAATTATCAATTAAATATCCCAATTTTTTTATTTGGTCATTGAATGCACCATTTATTACATACATCATGTATTTTGAACAGCGGGAATCCATATGAGTTAGTTATAATTTTACAAAATGATAAGTTAATGATTAGTTTTAGATAAAGTGTTAGTGTTAATTAAACGAACAAATGCAGTAAAGTTAAATTATATTTAAATTCATTTTATACAGTGGCTTCATTTGATAACCTAGCGAAATATTGTTGTATCAAATGGTTCCGATATGCTTGGTCTGATTGCCTTTGTGTTGCAATTTCTGCAATTGGCACAACTATATTCTGGTTATTCATTATAGTGGACTCTCGTGGGATGTTTTCATTGTTGTCAATACATATGTTATGCAATATGGCTGTTGCAACAATAATTGGTTGTATATTTTTAATATTAACTCGCAGTTTAGTACCAATTGCAGGAAACCTTCTTTTCCATACACCAAAGGTTCTTTCCACGACATTTCTCGTCCTTATCTGACTCTCATTGTACAGTCGTTCAGGTTGTGAGTGCGGGTCGGATAGTGGTGTCATTAAATATTTTTTTAGAGCATATCCACGATCGCCTACTAAACAACAATTTCCAAAAACTCCCCGGTCAAACTTCTTCTTTACTTCACTGGCGTTGAAAATAGTACTGTCGTGCACTGAACCCGGCCATCTTGCTACTATATCTAAAATTCTCAATTTAGCATCAGCAATTACCTGAGTATTCATTGAGAAGAAATCTTTTCTATTACGATACAGTTCGGAATTGTTGCCCCCTGGATTCAGCATTGGTATATGAGTACAATCTATAGCTCCTATAACACTAGGAAATTTTGCTATATTGAAAAATTCTGCTACTGTAGATCTGATTTCTTCTGTGTTCTGTGGCATTTTAATAACTGATCTAAATTTACAGCATATCAGTTTTGACACGTGGTGAATAATTCTGCATATAGTTGATTTATGCAATCCAAACAGATCTCCAGAACACTGCTGAATATTCCCAGTAGCGTAAAATCTTAACGTCAAAAGAATTTGATCTAGCGGACTCACGGCATGGTTTCTGTAAGGAAAAAATCATATATGTACCTACTTATTCATATTAAAGTAAATTCATATAAATAACAAGGGTGGTAGGTATTGCTTACCGATCTGTTGGCCTTTTCAAAGAATTCTTGAGTTCACTGAGTAACCAAAGAACGGTACTTTTAGACATTCTGTATCGTTCAAAGAAATCTACTTCATCCCAAAAGTCTAGCTGTAATATTCTATCCCGTAATGTTTTAGGACGGCGATTTAATATATAATCTACAATAATATCATCGTCAGAAGAGCTATCAGAGTCTTCAAAATGTCTCACAATATTTAAATTCATTTTATTTCACTCACGTTTCCACAAACAACCTCGTACTTATATGTCAGTTACCTAATTGTCAAAGTTAACTAGTCAAAAACGCATAGTTAACTTTTATAACAAATGGTCAAATTTTTTAACTATGGTTAGCTTAACTATTCATCAAACAACACAATTTTGTAATTTTTAACAAATGGTCAGTTTAACTAACGCGTTTTAACTATTAGTATGTTTAACTACCGATCAAACAACGGGCCCTAAATGGACTGTAATGTTATAAAGGTTGGTCAGTAATTTCAGTGTCAATTTACTTTTTAATTACAGTCTTAAGTTTTAAATTGACAAGTGATGCTGGTGTTAAAGTTCTGGAAAGTATATTTGGTGCCTGGGAGGATAAACGGGATGCGCTGGGTGTGCTTTGTGATTTGTCTTTGGCATTCGATTACGTTTTTCATGAAACATTGATCAGAAAATTGCATCACTATGGAATAAGGAATACTGCTTTGGATCTTCTTATCTCTTATTTGGGTAATAGGATCCAGAGAGTGGAAGTTAATGGACAGAGGTCCTTCGGGTCAATGGTCACTATGGGGGTTCTGCAGGGCTCAATTCTCGGCCTGTTTTTGTTTTATCGTTTATATAAATGACCTACCTAATCTGTTAGACCGAAAATATAATCAGGAGATATTTTTTGTTTTAAAGGGGCTTATATAATCAGCTACCTGAGTGGAACTCAATACTCCATGGTTGAAAAATATTGGGATACAAGCATCATTTTGTATTTTTTGTCATGTATGCCGGTTTCGTTAACTGGAAACCGTTGTTTAACAAAGCTTACATTGTATTTTATGAATTGAGTGAGTTTCTTGAAGGTCATGCGGTTCCCCTAGCGTTAAAATTTAAAGTAGACCTTCAAAGGCCGAGAATGAAGTCGTGACTCTTGAGTTGCAGGAGTCTATGAGCGGTGGTGGTTACTAACCATCAGGTGACTTATCTGCTCGTTTGTCCCTCATATTATAATATAAAAGAAAACTAGCTTTTGGCTGCGGCTCCGCTCGCGGGTATGTTGGTTATCGCGGTTATAAAAAAATCATCTAACTCGGTTCACCGGTCATTGATTCCCCTTACAAACTTCCATCCCTCTTTTCACTCCCTTAAAGGATGATTTCTTTGATAAAAACTATCCTATGTCCTTTCCCGGGACTCAAATTATCTCTGTATAAAGTTTCATCTAAATCGGTCCAGCGGTTTAAGCGTGAAGAGGTAACAGACAGACAGACTTTCGCATTTATAACATTAGTATGGAAGAATGGATTATGAAAACTTTCTACTCAGGCGCAATACATCATCATGGGTCAAAGCAAAACCCAACACAAAGTGTAAACAGTCCTAGCAGGAATGTCAACGAGTGTTTATACATGAGATTATGCCTGTTAGTTATTATTGTTTGCTTAGATAATTGGTATTGGTATTACAATGTCTAATTAAATGGAGTTCAATGGAATTGGATTTTCAATGGAATCGGGATTGGAGCTTGAAACTAATCTCTCTTAAAGCCATTAACATACCAACGGTTACTGTTTAGTGATCCTAACTGGTAAGGCAGATGTTGTGGTTTCGATTCCCATCTAGGACAAATGATTGTGTGTTGAGTACGATCCTTTGTTCTGTGTCTAGGTAACTATAATATACATGTATTTAGAAATATATAAGTATGTTTATCAGCTTTGCCTAGTTGGTATCAGACGGTATCAGACTTCAGTCGCATCATTGGCTTTCAGGAAATATCAGGGTTACAGAACAGCCACACTATATCCTCATACACATTAAATGCATATCTTTTACTAGCTGACCCGCGCAACTTCGTCTGCGTCTCTCATTAGTAATAAATTTTCTCCGTTTTTGAAACATTCTTCATTGGTGCTCCGCTCCTATTGGTCTTAGCGTGATGATATATAGCCTATAGCCTTCCTCGATAAATGGGCTATCTAACACTGAAAGAATTTTTTAAATCGGACCAGTAGTTCCTGAGATTAGCGCGTTCAAACAAACAAACAAACTCTTCAGCTTTATAATATTAGTATAGATTTAAGTGTATGATATAACAGTGTATTTGGTGTAATTGGTAATGGGTTTAGAATTGCCTTTATTGACTCTATTTATAGTATAAGAGATCACATGAGTAATCAGTTTGACTGGCCTGTTGGTTCAGGTGTTAGTGATTCTGACTGCTACGCCAGAGGTCGTAGGTTCGATTCCCACCCAGAACAAATAATTGTGTGATGAGCACGGTCATTTTTTCTGTGTCTGGGTGTACTTTTATCTATAATATGTATGTATTTAGAAATATATAAGTATGTTTATCAGCAGTTTGATTAGCATAGTACAGGCTCTGCCTAGTTTGTGATCAGACGGCCGTGTGTGAGATGTGTGAGAATATTATATTATATTTAAACTGAATTGGAAAAATAATAATAACTAAGAGACCGTGAAGTGTTTAGTTAATTCCTGAAATACTGCTAAACTAGGAATCAATTTAAGGGGTTAAAAGAATAGAGGTTTAAATACAACTGCCGGTTTTTTTTTTGACTTTACAGAAGGCAACCGTTTGTATATGTATATGTCAGCCTAGAAATATGTTACTGCTTATGGCAATACAGACGAGAGTGTTCTGTTTAGTTGTATGTAAGAATGAAACTGCCATCACTCAGAAAACTTATCAAATATCTGAAGCAATAGCACTCAAGGAGCTTAGCCGTTATAATGTCCAGTATTTAATTACATCCTAGACTCGTATGACGTCACGCATTATCTAGAACGAGTCCAAACGAATATGAAGTAGTGACTCACGATTACAACCGATTTAGCAATCAAATGGGTAACGCCCACGTTATTAAACTTACATAGTTGAATTATTACATATTTGTTGGATTCTTATACTATACTAGCTGACCCGCGCAACTTCGTCTGCGTCTCTCAATAGTAATAAATTTTCTCCGTTTTTGAAACATTCTTCAATGGTGCTCCGCTCCTATTGGTCTTAGCGTGATGATATATAGCCTATAGCCTTCCTCGATAAATGGGCTATCTAACACTGAAAGAATTTTTTAAATCGAACCAGTAGTTCCTGAGATTAGCGCGTTCAAACAAACAAACAAACAAACTCTTCAGCTTTATAATATTAGTATAGATATGAGATAATCAAACTAAGGCAGATTGAAATGAACACAACACAACCAATCTGTGGAACGGGTTATCGTCTGCGGTATTTCCGGACCGATACGACCTTCAAACCTTCAAGAAAAGAGCGTACTCCTTCCTAAAAGGCCGGTCACGCGTTTGTGACTCCTGAGTTCAGACGTTCATGGGCGGCGATAGTCGCTTACCATCAGGTGACCCGTCTACTTGTCTGCCCCATCTAACATAAAAAAAACACTTAAAGTCTGATGAGGAAGATGTCATCAAGGTTGGGTGAGTCTTAGCAGAATCACTTTTTACTACGCCGAGTGTTGTGGGTTTAAATCCCACATGGGACGACACTTTGTGTGATCTACAAATTGTTGTTCTGAGTCTGGGTGTTCTTTGTGTCCGTTTCATGTACGTTTGTTAAGTCCCCGCGACACAGGATATATTCCTAATGCGGGAGTTGTCTTTAAAAGAAAATAGAAAGAGAAGACAATTGCAATTTATGCGGTACAAAGTCCGAAATTGTAACTGTGTATATCTCGATAGAATAGCCCATCAACAACTATTACCGGATGGCGTAGTGGTTTGTCTAACGGACTGCTAGTCTAAAGGTCGCGGGTTCGATTCCAGCTCAAGTCAAACACTCGTGTGCATGAACATGTAATGTTTGTTTTGGTCTGGGTGTTTCTACGTATAATATGTATGTATTTACAAAAAAAAAGTAAATAATATGTATTTATATCAGTTGTCTAGTACCAATAGTATAGGCTCTGCTTAGTTTGGGACTAGATACCGTTGTGTGGTTGTGGTAGAATATTATATTTGTTATATCTTAACCTATGGGGTCGTATAAAGACCTCAGAACACGATAGTTCCACGAATCATGCTGCTAATGCACTTAAGCATTTGAATAACTCATAATAACTCCCTTTATCTCTTACAGGAGTTAAACAGTATTTCTTTTGATAGTCCTCTTTTATTTTTTTCTCAAATACTAGCTTTGGCAATTACGTTCAGCTTTATAGACATGCGCTCTGAAATGTTGGCTGCCCAATTACACTCTCAGACAACTAAACGCATAACTAAGCCCACCATTAAATTATAGATATTCAACACCGACGCTAGAATCGCTACGTGGAAGCAATTCACTTTCATTATGCAATGAAATTCCTGGCCGCAATAACTATGTATACAATGTCTCTAGTGAGCATGTATTTTCTTGTCAAACGGACTCCAATTTGTATCGTTTTTATTAAAACGTAGCATACTATCCTCAGAGATGTTAGTTACACATTAACATACAATAAATCGCATTTTTTTTTTGGTGGAAGACACATTTAATTATGGTTCTCAAATTCTAAAGTATTTCTGAAATCCTCATAAGGAACAACAGCATCCCCTTCCCTCCCTCTCCCCTTTGAATTTTGTACGTTCCCTTAGTCGTCGTATGGAAATTATTGCTACTTTTGAATAATAATCACATGCTGAAATGGCGTTAGTTTTGGTCATAGGCAAAGATAAATGCCATCAAAACTTAAGCAAATAAAAAAACGGCATCAGGATCTATGGTCCCCGCTCGTATAGCAAGAAGTGTCGGAAAAAAGTCTTGTTACACATTCTGGCGCTAGCGCAATCGCAATCATAATTCGCAGTGATCTGCTGATAAGCAAATGCAGCATATGATTTATCACAGGTGAATGTGATTTTATTAGTGTCCGACCGAAACACGGTTTTTCAGCGGAAACTGAACCGAACTTTCGGCCCTTGTTTCAGTTTGAAACTCAAACTATCATTTTAAAATTTCGACTGTATACTAAAATCGAGTGTGTTTTAGCCCTTCATCTGCTTATACCAACAACCTAATACCACTATAATAAGGTAGACACACGACCTCAATTCTAAATAACAGAAAATGTATTTACGTAGGTAGATAAAAATAAAATAAAAGCTAGGTACTAGTACTAGTAATTCATCTGTCTAAATCAACTAGGTACCTAACGCGATAGGCGAAAAAGGACTGGGCAAGAGGGCTGACTAGGCGCGTTTTCTCATAGTTAAGTTTAACCAGCTGAAGAATCAGTCGCTAGATTTAATAGCATCCCTGCATCGTAGTATCTCGTTTTTATTTATAATACGAGTACACATTTATTTAGGAAAACGTATCTTTTATCAGATTCTGCTAATTTATTTGCAAAACACACTGTATTCAACACATTGGCAGCCTAACTCAATTCCCATTCACGATACATTTAGAGTTAACTCTTTTGTTAAAATTCAACAATTCATAGATAGCGCGTTATCATTTGCACAAAGATTAGCGTATATCCGTGACGCGCGGTTGCGGTCACGCGTACCATAACCGCCTCTAATACACAACACTAGTTAATCAAAATTGAACAAATATTTGACATTAATAGCAATGCCAAACTGTGCAAATAAACTCTGTATTGATGCCAATGTTTGGCGTGCATCGCTTTGCATTGATGCATCGCCATTGTTTGTTTATTGTTAAATGTATACAGAACATTCAGATCCTATGTTTTATTGTATTTTTTTGTTATAATTCAGTGAATGAATTTAGAAGTACTTTGAAAATTGTATTTCGCTCTAATTTCTTTAGTTTGTTGTTTATAACAAGAAATGAACAGAGAAAACTGAGTGTAACTTCTGACAGGTCGCGGTAGGACGTTAAGGTTTATGAAAAGCCCCTTGTTGGTTCCGAAACTAGTCGAACATCCCCGTAATACACTCGTAAGCAAAACCATATATTGATTTGAGATTTTCCTCCCGGGCGCTCTCCGTCGCCTCCTTTATCCTCAATAACGTCTTCGCAGAAGAATACGATCGCGGTAAGATATCTGTCGCTACCGTCCATGGAGTGTATGACGGCCGGTGGCAAGAGATCCCCTCCAATGACTGCAGTAAGGAGCAAGGTGGTGATGGTGTGCCGCTCAAGCGGGCTTAACAAAGCGTGTGGTCACTGCAGTCGCAGTGGTGACAGGCGGGACTCAATTCAATCCTAGCGACCGATATTATTAGTAATTTTTAAAGCTCATATTTTTATGTCTTAAAAATAAAGTACAAGCTTGAACAATTACTATCTGCTTTAGTGGGAATGAAAACAAAAAACTTCGTTCGCCCCTAGCAGATAAACTGATGTTACGCTTCAGTGAATTTGATAAAATTGGCGGCATAATTTTGTAACGAATGTAATTAATTAGTCTGCTGTGACATGGTGGTTATGTACAGGCTCTCTATATATAGTATCAAAGTAAACATGGAGGCCGTAAACCAAACAGAAATGAAATAAACCAAATATATATTCAAATTCAATGGAAATAACAAATTGGACCCATTGTTAATAGCTGAAAATTGAAATCTAAAACTGGGATTCAACGAAAACAAATCAGTGATACCACGGCCTCACAAAAAACTAGTGTTGAGCAATTCTTTGGTTGGTTTTCACTGAAAGAGTGAGATAGGTAGATAGATAGAAAATTATTTATTTGTACACCATTTTACAAAGTAGTAAAGTACATAAAATGTCATATGTAGTGTGCAAAGTGCGACCTTATTGCTGAGTGAGTGAGGTTGCCAAGTTGCCAAACCCCCTCTATTTGTTTGTCCTGCAACTCGTTTAAGGAAAATAGACCTTAAAGAAGAAGGTGGTCCATGCTTATCCAAGAGAAATGGAAAACTAGAAGCAGACAGTTCACTTCAGACCTTGGCAACTTGGACCAAGAAGGAGCTGTAAAAGCATTTAGTTTGAATTTTTGGTGTGAGGACAATAGACAAGGACAAGATTGCCTCGAAATGTGTATATTTTTTTCAAATTATATATTATTTTTTACAAATACTATCAATAGTTTTGTTTCTTTTATAATCCCATTAATACCTTAAAGCTTGCCTTAGCTGTGACAACACAACAAAATACAACACAAAATACCTGGTCATTTACACATATCTGTGTGTGTCAATCAGGTTTATGTAACTGCGGTACAGATATTTACTAACAACGTGGGTTTACCGTTGCGTCATGTTCGAGAATGTGTGGTGTGGTGGTGGCCGATCCGCCTCTGTGTCATAGTTTAACTCACACAACTGAGAATCTTTAACTTACTAGACATATAATTTTTCTTTCGCTGGCCCTTTTTTGTTTTTTTAATAATAATAATAATAACTTTACACATCTTACACATGGCCGTCTGATCCCTGTGACCTGTGCTATGGTAATTACACTGCTGATAAACATACTTATACCTATATAACATCTAACATCGATAATTTTTGATACCTTAAGTTTACTATAAAACAATATTTTTTGGGCGTATGCTTTATATAAAATACTTAACACAATTCACTCAATAACTATTAACTGACATGTTATAACTTGATAAAATATGAATATTATTTACACGTATCCGTACAAAAATATTGCTTTAAATGTAATGGCCCTGACACAATTACACACACTTTCTTTCATTCTAAAGAGCTGGTGAAAACAGCACTTACAAACACAATTGAGTTGTCAAATATCCCTCCGACTTTTATTACCAGCAACCATGATAAGAGGAAGAGGGATAGAAAGTTATATTGATATCAGTGTCCTTATCTACCGCGAGGGAAGCAGGAATTTGATGCCTCAGAATGGATTGCGGCGATTGTTCGTCGAGGTTTGCATTTTGGATTTGCGATTCGGTATCGGAGGATTATACGGTTTACTATTTATAGCTAAATTTGATCCCATCATGTGTTATCCTTCTTAATTTATAAATTACACGTAGTTCAGTACTTTCTGGATCTTCAAGTGATTACATGTAAGACTATCGCCGCCATTTGAAACCTGTAATCAAGGTTATGGGTATATTTGCTTTAAGGCTTTAAGCCTTCAGTCATAAAAGTATTGGAACTCCCCAAAACAACTGGATGTATATCTTACCAAAGTCTACAAACTGCATAGCATCCACAAATTTATTAGTAGTAGGTATTGACCCTAATCGAATTGTGGCCCCGACAGCTGATATGCTCGGCTCTACCCCTATGAACACACTTCGTAAATAGAGAGACCAGAATTGAGTGGTGTCATTAGATTATTGTTGAACCTCTATTTGAAGGTCTAAGATACCTAATAGATTTATTATTACTTATGTAAAAAATACCCTTAAATGACTTGATGTTACAGGACCCTGGCATGGTCACACTCCCAAATCTATCCGTATAACCAATATTGGCGGCAACCATTGAGGGCCGGATGGCTTAGTGGTTTGTATAACGGACTGCTACGCCAAAGGTTCGATTCCGGTTCAAGTCAACATTTGTGTGCATAAAATTTTTATGTTTGATTTGGTCTGGGTGTATCGTATGTATGTATGTATTTACAAAAAAGTATATATGTATTTATATCAGTTGTCTAGTACCCATAGTGCAGGCTCTGCTTAGTTTGGGACTAGATGGCATTGTGTGAATGTGGTATATCCCTTCCATTCCCTTTTAATATAATCCCAATTTTCCCATAACTATGCCCAGTTGACAGCAATATACCTTCCCTTTTTTATTACCTTACTAGCTGACCCGCGCAACTTCGTCTGCGTCTCTCAATAGTAATAAATTTTCTCCGTTTTTTAAACGTTCTTCATTGGTGCTCCGCTCCTATTGGTCTTAGCGTGATGATATATAGCCTATAGCCTTCCTCGATAAATGGGCTATCTAACACTGAAAGAATTTTTCAAATCGGACCAGTAGTTCCTGAGATTAGCGCGTTCAAACAAACAAACAAACTCTTCAGCTTTATAATATTAGTATAGATATTTACCAAAATGTACAATACGCTTTTACCTGTCCCTTCGGCGGTAAAAGCGTGTATGTATCACTAACTGTAACTTGTATAAAAGATTAATAACTCGAGTGACCAATACGACTAATATGTTAATAAAACTAAGTATTATGACCTCGTAAATGATACTTTAAGAGCGACGTTGTAACTACGAATATTAGGGAAATTAAACTATAAATCTAAGTACAGTGGCTGGAAGCGATTTTTCCTTGTTATTAATATTTATTGTAACATATGTCGTAATATAGTTGTTTTTTTTTTATATAATTTAT